AATCTCCTTGATTTGAGACTAGATTCACACAAGTGTTCCTCCCATTCGCTCAAACCAAGGCTCTGATACCAACTTTAACATCCATCAAATTTACACCAAATTTAAACTTTTAATTTTAACAAAAGAAACAAATAGTAATTGTTTTTACAAAACATTTCCAAATCATTTATCATCAGAGTGTCCCAAAATAGATCATAAGGATGAGGAGCAACCGACTCATCGAGTCCCACAAAGGACTCACCGAGTGGATCACTTAGTTCGCGATCCAACCCGCTACTACTCGACGAGTAGGGCCAAAACCCAAAAATATTTTATTTAAAGTATTACCTGAGAGTCGGGTCGTTACACTTGGGAACCTGATGGTTGGACCGGGTGCGAGACTAGTAGTCTTAGGGATCAACTAAGGGTATCTATTTACCGTTCAGGTGAGGGATATTGAAAGTTATGGTGCATAACAGATCTCAAGGTGTCTTTTAGAGGTCATGTGGGATTGCGGTGCGTGTGTTCCTGGATCAGCAACCGGGTAGGTTTCCGGTGTTCCGGATTGTTAGCAGGTAAGTTAGGACCAGGGAGGTCCCATATGTTCTTCAGGAGAGCAGCTACGTGGCAACATGATGAGTTCAAGTGGTTTCAGCGATTAGGGGTCCGTGTATGGAATTTCCTGTCATTCGGGTCATATGCTAAGTGGTTTACAGTTGGACTATATAATATCAGGAGCTGAATAGCCAATTGGAAGGTAAGTGTCGTGATCTCGGCAATGATTCGACATGGGCGGTCTTTTAGGGAGATAGGTCATCTCGAGACTTTGAAGTCTCAGATTGAGTAAGCGGAATTTTATTGCAAGGGATTCGTTTCACCTTTGTGTTTTAGAACCGTGCGGGGTTGGTCTTAGTTTCCTTGGAAAGATTGTGGTATTCTCGGGCTTATGGCCATGTTGCTCAGGTTGTTTGGTATGAAGGGGATGGAGATGCATGATTTCGAGGACGAAATCTAATTTAAGTGGGGGAGAGTTATAACACCCGGTTTAGAAGGTGCTCGGTTGCAACTTTGGAGGCCAAGGATATAAGCATAATCTATCGATTTGACCTTTTATGGCTCTCGGGTCTTATTCGGAAGGTTGTAGGGCTCGGGTGTGGAGCTGGAATGTAGGGTTTCTCACCACTTTTTCATGGATAGGAAGTTCGTAGGAAATAAACTTAGAATGAAGAAGTTATAGTACCTTGAAGATATTAGCATTATTGGTCCTTAGTAGAGAAAAGTGGCAAGGAGATCACATACATGCAAGGTGCCCAACAGAATAGTACGCCGAGTGTAAGCTGGGGTATGCCCAGGGTAGAGAGGATAAGTGGTCGCGAGTGTTGGAGACGTACGCCCAATGCATGAGACGTACGCCCAATGTATGCTCAGAGTCCCTAAACCCTAATTTTTAGGGCGTGCCACGATACAAAGAACATTATACCCTCAAGGGTCAACCTCCTTCTCACCCTTAGATAGTTTTCACGAAACCCTAATCTTCTTTGAGTGTGCTTGGAGCTTGGAAGGCTTTGTGAGAGCATTTTGGTGTTTTGGATTCACCCTTCAAGGAAGCAAAGGTCAAGGTAAGGAGTTGGTGCAAAAGAGAAGTTTCAGATCTGGGATTTCTGCTTCACTTCAGACCTTTTCAAGGTATAAATTCATAAGCTTGATGATTAATCTCTTATATCTCTCTTAGGATGAGTTTATGGACTCTTTTGGTACAAGAATGGATCTTTATAACTCAAGCACATTTCTAAGTCTAGGGTTGCCTTCCTTAGTATCATATGAGTCCCATAAGTAGTAAAGTTTCAATCTTTAGGGCTCATTTGTGGCCATGCATGATATGTAGCCCTTTTCATGGAAGTTTGTTGTCATATTTCAAGTTTGGGCTCATTTGGTGGATTGCAAGCCACCAAGTAATCAACTTTATGGATTATGATGTCGAAGAGGACTTGGATCTGTAATTATAGCTGCTAGAATGGGGTATTAAGCACATAATGGAAAAGTAGCTTAATAGGGGAGTACACTGGGCGTACATGCAGGTACGCACAACGTACACCACGTTCATCCAGTACGCTTAGCGTACAGGGGAGTACACCTTGCGTATTCATCAGTTATGGGCTTGGAGTGTTTTGGGCCTCAGGTTGGGCCAGGTAGTGGGCTTTGAGCCTTGGGGCCTTAGTGGACCATCATAAGTCAAATATTTTGGTCTAGGAATATGTTTGGGCTTAAGGTAAGGCCTATTAGAGGGATTTGGCCCAATTTAGAAAATTAGGCCATTAGTAGGCCACTAGTGGACTTGGAAAGCCTGCCTAGTGTTGGGCTTTTTTTTAGGGATTGGACCTTAGTTTGGAACATACTGGGCCAGGGGTAAAATGGTCATTTTACCCCCAAACATGGATTAAGGATTATAGTATCAGGGGCCCACTTGCTAATTGCGTATATTGATCGGTATTGATAGCTTAGGAAGGGGACAGAGCAGCAGCTAAGGATTTCATTCAGGAAGCTTCTGCATTCGAGGTGCGTTTTCTCACCATACCAATAGGTCTAAGGCACCAAGGCCGACCCATTTTGTGATAGCCGATATATTTCTTGTGTAGAGGTGTGTGGCATATTTGTGCATTGATACATGGTAGAGATATTTTTTACAGCTAATGGTAGAGGTAGCCTTGGTGGCTAATGGTAGAGATAACCTTTATGGCTAATGGTAGAGATATCCTTTGTGACAAATGGTAGAGATAGCTTTATAGCTAATTTATATGTGATATGTGGTAGAGGTAGCTTTTATAGCTAATTGATATGTGACATGTGGTAAAGGTAGCTTTTATAGTTAATTGATATGTATTATGTGGTAGATGTAGCTTTTATAGCTAATTGGTATGTGTTATGTGGTAGAGGTAGCTCTTATAGCTAATATGATATGTAGATTGTGTGGGGTATTCTCTGAGTAACTCACTAAGCATTAACTTATAGGTGGTGGATTTGTTTCAGGTACTTCAGGTTCTAAGGGCAAGGGCAAGGTGTGATGGCGCGATGTGCACTCTCTAGCAGACGCTTTCACGGGATACTCTGATGTTTGGAATAAAAGTTGTATTTGACTTATGTTTTGAAAATAATTATAACTGGATTTCTTAATGTATGAAAATATGTTTGATGATTCGAAAATGAAAATTTTTTGTGAAAAATTGGGTCGTTACATATATGCTATTAGATATAGATGTATTAAAATATGTTTTTTAAAAAAAAAAAAGATTTTTAGCTTTTTTGATTATTTTACGAAAAAGTTTAATTCTTGTTTACACGTTTCTATACCGGTAAGATTCATAATTCTAGCTCTGAATACCAAAATGAAATAACAAATGTATCAAAGAATAATAAAGATAAATAGATAGACTAACCTGAATATTGTGATTGTAATGGATGATATGAACTTAGATGTTGGATGCACTCTGCTATTCATAAATATAAATTTCAACAGGGAAAGCTTTGAGAGTATTTAAATCTTACACAAAACAACTATGCTTTATTCATAATTAGCAGCACCGTGTGTGTGTGTATGTGTGTGTATATATATATATATATATATATATATATATATATATATATATATATGAATCCTCGGGGAAATCAATGTTTGTTCTTGTCACCAAGCTCTTTGTGCAATGTGTATATATAATAATGTGAGTGAAGTAAGAGTGACGTGAGTCCTTTTGTCGTAATATGTTTATAATAATGTAAGAAGAATAATTACGTTTGTTGTCTTAGAATAATAGCTTGCAATAATAGATTGTAATAATGTAAGTTTATTATTTGTAATCATATGTGTACCAAACTCTCGAAGAGCCTATATGTGTATATAACTAGGGCACTGCCCATTATGAATGAATCAAAGTTGTTTTGTGTAAGACTTGAATATTCTCAAAGCTTTCCTCTGTTGAAATTTATATTTCTGAATAGCAGAGTGCATTGACGGAACATATATAGGGTCAGAGGGGGTTGTGCCCCCACCTCCATCCCCCCTATTTTTTTATAATTAGTTTATTAGTATTAAAAATGTTACATATTATGCCCAAAACTATAAAATTTGACTTCCCCCTCCCTCATATTCTTTAATTTTTATACGTATTGTATTTTTGGCACCCCAAATCAAAACTTCAAGCTCCGTCACCGACAGAGTGCATCCAACCAATGTTGTAAAAACTGGTTTGAACCCGGCCGGTCGAACCGGTTGGACCGGGAACCGGGAGAGGGAGCGGTTTAACTATCACCAGTTTTACATTGATTTCTAAACCGGATTGAACCGGCGGTTTTTAAAAAAAAATAAAATTGGTTGAACTGGTCAAAATAAACCGGTTCAACCAGTTAAACCAAATAAAAACACATGAAAAAGAACCATTTACATAATGAACTTTGCTGATTTTTTAAAAATCTATTTAGTTTTCTCTAAATAAAAACATATGGTAAATGTTATAAATTATTTTGATGTGTTTGTATTCATCAATAACTATATTTTGTTTCGGTATTATACTTTATTTTCTTTTTGACGTATATGAATTGATGTAAAACACTAAACTTATGATTATGTGTTATTTTAATGTATTTGGATTCATCCACAACTTATTTTTATGTATATTTTTAATGTTTAAACTTGTAAACATCAAATTCATAATTTTTATATGTATGTATGCGTAGGAAAATAGAAAAATAAAACATGAAAAATATAGAAACCAGTTCACCCGGCGGTCGAACCGGTTAAACCGGGAACCAGTCACCATACCGGTTCAACTAAAAAACCGGTTTTTAAAACATTGCATCCAACATCTAAGTTCATATGAGCATCATATCATCCATTATAATCACAATATTTAGTCTACCTATTTATCTTTATTGTTCTTACATACATCTGTTATTTCATTTTGACTCATGATTTTCTTAAAAACATTTTTATAATCATTTCTTCCAAAAAAAACAACATAGTGATAGGAGTGAAAGTAACCAAACTAATAATGAATTTTAATAACTTTATGTCATTACAAATTTCATAGATAAAAATGGGCTATATTGCATCTTTCCATTCAATTCCAAAGACATAATGAATAACAACACCCACCCATAAAGAATAAAAATAATCAAATCCATTCCATCATATCAAACAAACAAATTTTACTTTTTTTATATCATTGGTATTCTTCGAACCATTCAATTCCATTCTTTCTCTAGCTCCATCATCCCAAACCCTATTTGGGAAGCTCAATCCAGTGCAATTCGAGTTCAACTTCACCACATTCAACGTTTTGCAATCTAAGAGTCATACCTTGAACGACTTTTCCATCTTTAAAAGTTACACAACTTTCTTCAGACAAACAATTATTCCTATCAGGTTTTATCGTTTTTAGGACGGTCCCATTTGGGACAGTATCTATCGATTTTACTACATTGTAAAATGGTTTGATGCTAAATTGAGCATCTCCCATCTCGTCATCTTTAGTAAATATGTCATGGTCAAACACCATCTGCAGATAATATATACATACAAGAAAAAAACGCTTAAACGTTTATTTATTTGACATTATTTTGTTTTTTTTTCTGGATTTTTGCAAGAAAGTGGTTTTACACAAAATATGCAAAAATGTTTCACTCTTTTTAAAGTTTGGGCACCCATATGAAAGGTCTAAAGTTAAACATTAATCAGGGATGCTTGGGAGAATGATGTGCTAGTCGGGAACCCATTTTTTCACTTTTTTAAACCATTTTTTTGCAACAATGTTTTACTTTTTTTTAATGAAAAGTTGTTGAACTTTTTTTTTTTTTTTAATATCAATTTATGCAAAAATGTTTTACTTTTCTAATCATTTATTCAACAATGTTTCATTATTTTTACCAATTTATGAAACAAACGTTTCACTCCTTTTTACCCATTTATGCAAACGTAGTTTCACCAATGCAAAAATGTTACTTTTACCAATTTAGGCAACACAATTTTTTTTTTACCAATTTATGCAACCGGCACAAATTGTGCGGCTAACATTTTAGTAGGTTAAACATGTTTTCGGCAAAATATTGCATCTTTTGATCCTAAAATAGAACATTGTTGCAAATTCTGTATAAGAAAACCACTTAATTGCATAATTAGGAAAATTATCAAATGCTGTTGCTGAAATCCACACATAACCTAATTGAGAAATGGTAGATATATGTCACACGACTCAAGTACTTCTTGCTAGTTTTCTTAAAAGTCAACAAACAAACCGATACACCATGAATTATAAAAATGCACTTCTATACCATTGGAACAATATCAACTTAATAAAGTTATGGTTTTACCACTAAGCTAACTTTAGAGCATGTTTAAGAATTATTGATTTATTTATGAACTCTCCTTCATTTCAGGGGAAAAAGGAAAGAAGAAAAAGTTACCTATGATTTTTGTGTGTCAAATCTAAATTCCAACTTGACATTGGTTATGACTATTTTTACAGAAACTGCTAGATATATGAAAAGCTACTATAAGGAAAAATATATAGATTAATATTGACATCAAATTGAATTGAAATTAAAATATGGGATAACAATTTTGTATTTGAGAGGTGGTGACTGGTGATATTAGATTCTAGCATAATGCTGATTATCTTGTAACATTTCGGTAAATTCCATATCTATATTGATTATTTTAAATTAGATTTAGAAACTTGTTTGGGCATTTTAGAAAATATCGGAATTTATAGGAGAAAACGGGAAAAAAAAATGATATTTCTAAATTTATGAAAAATGATAGAAGTGTCTAAATTTATGAAAGCTGAAAGTACGTTGTTGTTTTCAGGTTGTAGGGGTTTAATATGGAAATAATGATTGATGGATTTGTGTGATTTTTGATCATTGCGTGATAATGGGATTAATCTGTATTTAAGACTATTGATGTATATGATGTTAGTATAATCTGTTTTACCGACTTGATTTGGCCTAAATTATTATAAAAGCGTAAAGGTTTAAAAAACATAAATTGTAAAAAGCTTTTTGAAACTTCTTAAACATTTTTATAAAACCTCTAAAAAGGAATCATCAGTTTTAAACATTTTTACTTACGTTTCAAACTTTTAAACCTTTTTGTTATGGTTTTTCAACATATATTTTTAAAAAAGTTTAAAAAGACTTGTAAATTTTTTTAAATATGTTATAAAAAAAAATTGTAAAAAAAAGTTTGAAAAGTTTAATAAGGTTGTAAAAAAGTGTAAAAAAAATACTAAAAAAATTATAAAAATGTGTAAAAAGTCTTCAAAAGTTTGTGCAAAAAGTACTTAAAAAAAAAATACTTGGACAATTTTGTAAAAACAATGGACCAAAATTGTTACAAATTGAAAACTTAGGCCAACATTGTAAATATGGAAACGACCTAGTAAACTTGTAGTAGCAAGTCAAAACACATAAGTTCTAAGCTAGTTACCTTTTTACATAGTAAATTGGGTTTGTTGGAAACTTAAAGACAATTTAAATAGTTTGTTTGGTGAAATAAGTGATAACCATTGTTAAAACTAGAGGTGTCCATAAGGTTAAAGCCTCAAGTTATATACAAATCGGACTACCTAAATAGGAAACTAGAGATAAAAGGGTATATCAAGAATAAAGTAAACCTATACTACAAATATATTATCTATAACATTCTCACTAGGAGTTTTTACCTAATGCTTGTATTTTTCATGACATGTGGTTAGTTAATTAATTAATGTTCCTGTTGTTCAATACAATTTGCAGTTTTAAGTTAAAAAGTCCATTGCTAAGTATCACGTGTATCCTTTTACCTAAAAAGGTAGGATTTTCAGTATATATGCCTTTATTGTGGTAAATCTAATTAGCAGAAGTGAATAATTTCACATAAAATGACTAACAGGTATTATACTAGAAATTTCATGATGAGAATATGATAAATTTAAGATGTAATTGTATATGTAAGATACATACCAACTTAATTGGAAGTTCTGGATTTTCAACAGGAAGAGTCAAATCTTCTTCCCACACAGGGTTAAGCTCTTTATCAATAATACGGGTTTTCAGAGTCTGTGTCCAATAAACAAAAAGTGAACATTTATTTAGGTGGAAAAACTGAAAAGAAAAACTAAGGACAAAAAACAAGCAAGTTCCAATATATGCATGAATCCCTCCCATTAGATAAACTAATTAAAAAAACATAATTCATGTTAACACTAAATGAAAATTATATATGCATTAATGTATAGTGGTTCCATTCTTTTCGACTTAAGGGACTTAACAAGGGCATGACTTAATTAATCACGTAAGCTTATATATGGGTGTTGATTTTTTGACCCAATGCATTTATAACTATAATGATCATGACTACATCTAATTAATAGCTAAAAATGCTATCAATACAATTTTCATGTCAGTGCTTCTTGATCGATTGATCATCACATATCTTAAGGAATTACATTCTATCAGTTCAATTCGTTATATTGTCATATATTGTTCTACTGAAGAAATTAGCATGCATGCATGTAATTAATCGAATGAAAGTGAAAGAGCATACGCTTAGAAGAAAAAAGAAAGGATATATATATTAACCTGGTCGCCCATTGTGACTACGACATAAGGATCGCTGGATTTGAAATCACGTATCGCGAGATCTATACCTCTTTTAATCCTAATTCTAAGAAGACCCAGCAAATTATCCATTACGCAACAATATTAAAACCTCCGCCCATACAATGATCCTGAAATTCAAATCGGGAAGATGAAAGAAGGTGCTAGTGATCCTAAATTGAAATATCGAATGAATGTAGGGTTTATATTTTTTGGGAATCGGGAAAAGGATTTGGGTTTGGGGATACGGGAACATGCATTTGGGTTGACTTTGTTCATCAACGTGAGGTGGGTTGCCAATTGCCACCATCAATTCTGTATATGAATGACCATGAAAGGACATGAAATCTCATTGGTGATGGTGATACACATGTTCTTTCTCGATTTTTTTTTTGCATGGGAAGTGTTATCATTAAAAAATTATTAAGAAAATAATATTAAATTTTGACATAATAGAAAAAAGGGCTTATGACGTTTTGGTCTTTTTCCAAATTATACAACATTTATTATTATACAAAATATGCAACGATTTTTCGATCTATGAACATATAATGCAACCATTTAATTTAAATGAAATGTTAAATTTCAATTTTTGAGACTGCATGCATCGTATGGGCAAGAGGCTCCGTTTTCCTGAGGCTCACACCCAAAAAAACACTGGTATAACGGTTTGAACACAACCCCCAACGCGTGTTATTAGTCATTATGTGATGAAGCGTCATCGTCACAACGGGAGTCAACGCCTCAAAAAATTGCAAACAGTCATAATTCAGATTGTTCCCCAACGGTCAAGACATTAAAAAAAATCAATTTTACTCACATATAAATAAACATATTCACTCTAATTTTTACCTAAACAACACATTTATTTCTCTCATCTTATTTACTTCATTTTCTACACATAACTCAACCAAATTCACATTCAACAAACAATGGATCAAAACCCAACACTCCTCAACCAAACACAAACACATCAATTCCACTCGGTTTCGTACAATACGAAGACTACATGAACTTCCTCACCTCGCAAAACTCACCACAACTACCATTTTCCGGGAACCTTTTCGTTCCACAAACAAATCTAAACCTTCAACAAAACATTTTCAACACCTTTGCTTCCATTCCACAAACAACAACCCATACAAGAAACACGAAATACGGTTGCCGAGACACAAGCGGGGGTAGTCGGAAACCTAGAGGGAGAGGGAAAAAGAAAGGGAAAACGGCTGCAGTTGCAGAAAACAAGGAAGAACCTCCGATATGGTAGACATCGAAGGAGGATCGTGCATTGGTGGCGTGGTGCAGGACATAAAAACATCCAACTATGGGAAACGATATGAGGAGATGTGGATTTCGGGAAGCTTTCGCACAATTTTGAACAAAAGTGAGGCATATCGCAATCAGGATATGCTTAGTAGCAAGTGAACTACACTTAATAAGAAGTGTACCAAGCTTAATTAAAACTACAAAAAACTTTCTTCGCACAAGCAAAGTGGTGTGAACGCCTTCGATATGCTTAGAGTCGCAAGGGAGCAATATCATGTTGAAACGGGTCACGTTTCTGAGTATAATTTTTTTTTTTTTGGAGATTTTGAGAAATGACCCAAAATGGCTTAAGACGCTAACATCATCAGAAATACAATCGAAGATGTCTTGTGGTTCGGGTTCGTTTGACGTTTTTGACGCATGAATGAACATAAACTTGAACGCCGATACCGATGAGCTCCCAGACGACAGTGAAGAGCTATCCATACCACGGCGATTGGTAGGGCATGACAAAGCGAAGCGCACTTAATGACATGAAGATGAAAGAGAAAGCAGGCTTTGAGAGCACGCCGAAATGAAAGAGAAATTCGACGCCTACAATGACATCGCAATTAAAAAATATGAATTGCAACGTGAGCATTTGGTATTCCTTCGTCAACAAGCGGAGGAAGATCGAATAACAAAATATTTGATAATTCTTCAGACAAGCAAGGAAAATATAGCACCGAGACAAGTGCAAGTGCTCTGAAAGATGATGGAAAGATTGAGAAGAAAGATTTGAAAATTCTTCAGACAAGCGAGGAATAGTGTTCTTTGGTCAGTGGTGAGCATCAGAGCAAATGATACGGATTCATGGCTAGGACCAAGTCGAGGGTTATGTTAGGTCCTCTCTTCCTATTCTTGTATGATGAAGGCTTTAGGGTCTAAAGCACGACCTGAACACCTGATGGAGTCTGGTAGGCGAGGTTTTGACTCGTAGTGTTTTTGGTTAGTGTGTGGTTGCGAGAGTGATGTAAGACTGCGGAGTAGCCATAACATTCACTAGGTTAGCATGTGGTTGTGGGAGTGATGTAAGACTGTGGAGAAGGGGTAACAATTATCACGTTAGTGTGTGGTTGTAGGAGTGATAAAAGACTACGAAGCAAGGGTAACAATTATCATGTTAGCGTGTGGTTGTGGAAGTAATGTAAGACTACAGAGCAGCGGTAACATTCACCATTTTAGTATGTGGTTGTAGAAGTGATGTACGACTACGGAGCAGCCGTATCATTCACCAGGTCAATGTATGGTTGAGGAAGTGATGCAAGACTTCGAAGCAGCCATAACATTCACTAGGTTGGTAGGCGGTGATAACAGTGATGAAAGTCTATGACTTGGCTCGTGGCATTCTCTAGGATAACTTAGATCATCATAGGGTTGGGTGAAGAGCTACGAGTGGGCCTCAACATTTGTAATACTTGGGAAATCGTAGGTTGGGTTGGGGCCAAATGTGATGTCAGAACTCGGTTCGGTTTGTAGCCATTACTGGGGTTAAGTGGACTTGGTGATCGTTCATGCATTGGTTGGTTGAGTTGTCCTTCAGTGGGAGTGAACGACTGATGGAGTCATGTTGGCAGATGGAGCACGACCACCTCTACCTATTCAACTTTTTGATTTTGGAGCTAATTTTGCTTTCGATGAGGATTTTTCGATACCGGTAAGTGGTCGAGGCGTATATGTTTCGGGTATCTGTAAATTTATTCAGAACGGATAAGTTTATATGGTTCGATTTATGAAGTTGAGTCATTGTAGGAAAGGTTTGGAATGGATTTGTCTTCCTGGGAGTCAGATTTTGATCAGGTTTTTTTTTTTCAGTTTCAGGCATAGCGGTTGGACACTCGTTGGGGCTTCTGATTTTTTCTAATTCGAGTTCGACAGAAGTGAGGGTGGGAGGCCGTCCAAGTGGAATGACTTCTCCAGTCATAATTTGGATTCAAAGAGTTCGGTCAGGATCATTTGGTTTGGCAGAGGAGATATTAAGGAATGATTTTGAGGATGAAATCTAATTTAAGTGGGGGAGTGTTGTAACACCCTGTTTCAAGTCGTTTCATAATTCGTGACTGTGATATGAAGATCAAGTATCATAAGGCTTTGATCTTTTGGTAAAGATAGGTTTAGACCCATTTGGATGAGGGTAATGTAGATATGTGATCCAATAGTTTGGTTGGTGCTTTGGAGTCAAAGGGCAAAATGGGAAAAGGGATGTTTTGGACTTCTTGCATGAAATGTGGATTTTTTTCAAGAAGTTCTTAGTCCAATATATTTAGATAATATTGTAGAGATCTTCAACACCTTTCCATGGATATAAAGAACGTCGAAAACGGAGTTGGAACGAAAAAGTTATGACCGTTTGAAGTTTGGTAAATTTTGGGTTAAGCTGCGTACGTTGGGCATACTATGGCAACTGAGTACGTTGGGTGTACCAGAAGTACACAGGACATGCACGATTAGTGCCCAAACCCTATTTTTGTTGTTTGAGCACTATTTAAGCTCCTTAACTTCCCCAAACCCATTCCATTCTTAGCCTCCACCTCTCCAAAACTCTCCCATGAAACCCTAACCCTGGTTTAAGCCTTATGAGCTAAAAGAAGGTGTTTTGAGTGCTTTGAAGTGTTCTTGGTGCATCTTGGAGAAAAAATAGCTCATTGGAGAAGTGTTGTTTGCATTGGAGCTTGTAGATTTGGACTTTGTTCACCTTGATGTCTCTTCTAGAGGTATAAAGTTTGAATCTTGATGATGCGTTTGTTAGATCTAGCTAGTTTTTGGATGTTATGAGCTTTTGTTCATTTTAGTGCATAAAGTTTAGATCTTGAAATTTTGTGACCTTGTTATGGATAAAGTTGGAAAATTTATCCATCTAAACATCCCTGTGATTCAGATTTGAAGGTTGGAACTTAATGGATTAAGTTGAAAAAGATGCACTTTTGGTGTAACGACCCAAAAATCAAGGGTAAAAATTTCATTTTTGATGTAACCAAAACATAGATATCATTTATTCCAAACATTCCAAAACATCACTAATTAAAACATTTATCAGAGTTCACCCCAAAATCATTCATTGCGGAAAACATGGGTGTGTGCGTTGCGATCAAGCTGAGCCCTTCCTTTCCAAAACAATGATACCTGAAACCATAAACAAACTGTAAGCACGAAGCTTAGTGAGTTCCCCAGAGAATACCCCACACAATCCACATAACCACATAATCCATATTAGCTATAATAGCTACATAAACCATATCAATCACATAAGCCATGCATATAAACATATAAGGATGCCGTGGAAACCTTCCAAGGTCTTACACCAAGTGCCATGGGAAACCCCCACGTGGTCTTTACTAGCCGCCACTGGAACCCCCATGTAGTCTTGGCTAATTGTCTTGGCAACTTGCACATGGTCTACACTAATCATGGAAATATCATACGAGCTAAACAAGTAAACATACTAGGTAGTCGTGGAAACCCTCCAAGGACTTATACTAAATGTCATAGGAACCTCCTCATGGTCTTAATATACTGCCACCCCCCGGGGACTTCCATACAAATGTCCTAGCGACATATCACATAACCAACTACCAATCCATATAACATTAAATGGGCCGACCTTGGTGCCTTAGACCCATTGACATAGTAAGAAGACTCAACTCGAACGCAAAAGCTTCTAGAAAGAATTACTTAGCTGCTGCCCTATCCACTTCTTGAGCTATCAATTCCAAAATATCACCCAATTAGAAATTGGGTTCTATGCCATGATCCATAATCCATACTTGGGTAAAATGACCATTTTACCCCTGGCCTACAAGATACTTAGCTAAGGCCCAAGTCCAAAACTCCAAAATCCATAAAGGCCCACTAATGGCCCAATTTTCTAAATTGGGCCCAAAACCTTACATGGACTTTTCCTAAAGCCCATTTATTATTTTCTGAATCATTATACCTGTCCATAGCTAATCCAATGAAATCCATGCACTTACAAGCCCATTAATGGCCCAATTTTTCCGAATTGGGCCCAAACTC